GTGCTCAATGACAAGAAAGTTAGTAACACATGAGACCTTATCCAGGGTAAGCTATGAGCAGTTCAGTTTTCTTTCTTTTGGAAAGCCCAAATCTTCCTTTCTGTAGAATAACTTGCTCGCTGTAACAATGGAAATACTTTGTGTTTCTAATTTTCCAGTCATTCCATTATATTTTATTTTACAAATATATTACAAAATTATACTATTTATATTGATTATATTTACAAAAAAAATCCTGAGCAGATATATGCCTGTCACATAATTCTTGCTGAACGAGGAATACAGTGAATGAAATAAATAGACTTTTTTTTAACCTTAAACTGTAGGGTCTCTGGAGTAAGAGCACAACTTCTCAAAAGAACCTTGGATATATACGACTCTTATAAAGGCTCCAGAGCACATGATGTCTCTTTTGAAGAATAACATACACTTCTGAAGATAATTCTGGGGTCTTACCCCATTCACCCCACAAGAGCACAGATGGATACCATGTCTAGGTTGAAGTGCTGCAGTACAAAACAGTGGGCAGAACATTACACCAAAAGAGAATATAGAACCACACAGTTTGCTGCCACTAGATACCTATAGTCAATCAGTAACTAGAAAGGCTCCTGGGGGTAGTGACTATACACGCTAACCCCAATTAGGAAAGAATGCTGGCAAATACAGCAATTAAGTAAATTTGGGTTGATTTAAGTAAGAACATGTCATTTCCAAAGCTTTACAATTTAGAGATGGTGGAGGAACTACAGCCTTATTTTATAATTTTGTCAACAATTTGATTGTTCTGTCTGGAGATATCTTTTCCTCTTGATCATTTTCTCTGACCTTTTCATAATTCGGATCCAGCTGCTAGCAATATTCACTAACTTCTCCTGAAGAGTCTCCAAGCAGGCCAGGTTTAAATACTGGGCTTTGAACAACTTTCAGCATTGTTTTTAAATAAAAATGGAAATATCAGACTTTCTGCTTTCAAATATCTTTAAAAGCCTTCCTTTTCCCTTTAAGCTAAACCCCTATTTTCACTTCAGATACACAGGTTATTACGTAAACTCACAGAAGGCTCAGTGTAGTAACTTATAAATGAATCTGATGGAAAAAACTGACCACCAACATATACAGTGGTCAAAAAATGAATATTTTTTATTTAAAAAGTCAGGAGCAGAACAGCTGTAAGAAAAACTTTCACCTTGGATGAAAGCTTTGGCTGTAAAAAACAGCCCATCTTCCTTTCTTCCTTTAACACCTTAAGCATGCATCAAACTACCTTGTTATCCAGCTTCAAACTTTCTGTAAAACTTCAGAAGAGTTGGACTGTAACAAGAAACCACTGCAAATCATATTGACCAAGTATTGTCTCCATCTTCCCTCTCCTCTGAGCATACATCTTCTCTTACGTCGTCAGTTCTCTGGAATGTGTTTCTATTCAGTGTTTATACTGTACCCAGACGTGTTCCAATATGCTATGCCAGTACAAATAAACAAGAATATGGAAACTACAGGGGGGCCCACAGACTTTTTCACAGCACTGAGGATAATATCTTGAGTGAGCTGGCATTAGTAGAACATTTGCTTCTTGTTGATGACAGCAGGGAACTTAATTACTTCCTTCTTTTAACACTGGAGGATGAATAAAGAGCAGATAAAATGTTCTGTATATAAAAAAGAATCTGAAGAAACATCAGTGAGAGCATCATTATGAACTAGAAATATTTGTACAAATGTTACTTGCAATGCTGTGAAGTTTAACTCATATACTTAATCCTAAATTATGTAGCTAGTCTCACTAAACTAAGTGAGACTATACATAAAGGGATAAATAAAAATATAAAATATATAAATAAAGCTTTTTAGGATTGGAACTACTAACTTTGTTGAACCGTATAGCCCCTTTAATCTGCAGCATCAGCACCAACAGATGAATAACCGTGATTTCTAGTTGGCTTCTCTGGCCCTCATCTAAAATCCAGCAAGTATTTTGATGGCCAGAACAGAATCAATTGATGAAGAAGTCACTGGAAAGTCCCCTTAGGTTCTTACATTTTTTGGAAGGACGGATTTTATCACAGAAATTCTGTTCAGATGACTGAATGGCATCTATTCCCTGGTCTCACCCGAGGCAGAAGCTGACTACTAATGCTCTGTGAGCCTTGCTTCAGGATCGTTAATTTTACACAGCACTCCTCTGAGTTCTATTCCAATTCAAAACTTTTACTAGGGAAGTTTAGGCTCAGTGAAGTGAGGATCATAGTTAATTTTAGATTATTTATATCATATCCATTGAGAAATAGCACCAGCTTGGTTCAGTAATGTGATTTTTTTTTCCAGGAGCAGATTCTGTTTCATTTTGAAGTTTAATAAAAATTACACTGATACATTTATACAAGGAGTATTGAATGTCACAGCATCCCTGATTAAACATTTAGGGTGGCATGTCAAATTCTTGGCTAAGCCTAGAATCACTCCAATTTTCCAGAAGGGATTGGCATATACATAATGTCATCATTTATCATAAAGCTGCTGAACTGCATTTTTAATAAAAAGAAAATGTCTTACAGTGGTCATTCTATACGGTGTATATTTATACAGTTTTCAAATAAAGACTAAATTATAAGGTGAACCTTAAAATGACAAGCTGACAAAGGTATAAGTCCTAGTGTCCTACTTAACATAAAATTTTACGTGGCAATCCTATATAAATCAAGCTCTCAGAAATGTAAAGGAAGTTCACCATTTATAAATCCAAGAACCAATGATCAAAATACCTTTCTTCTTTATACGGATGCCTTGCACGATACTGACAGCTAGAGTAGACGTAGTGTAATTTTTTCCATTCAATCCTTGATATCACTCATAACCTTCCAAAATTTTTTTCTCTTGGACTAACATTTTTACACACACACAAAAAAAAACAGAATCAGCTTTTGAAAAAGGGACATGCAAAAGTAAAAACACCTGCATTTCTTAAAAGTATCCTCAAAAATTTTAAGAGCATAATCAGTGAAGTGAAAGTAGTTAGAGAGATGTTCATCACTAAATCAAAATACTTTAATTGTTGGACAATATTTCTGGTTCAAACATATTCAGGCACTTGCAGCTAAGATGTAACTTTTTCACTCTTGTCAGTTTTGGTTGTCTTTATACACAGGATAAACAAAGTAATCGGAATATTACTCAAACTCTTTATACAGGCCAAAGATTTGGTAAAGCGTTTTCGTTTAACCATTTAGATACACCGCCAAACAATACAAACGATCAATCTTCTTTTGAGGCAAAGAGAGAATAAGAGTATCTGCAGATATAGAGGGCTGTAAAAATGTATGTTTGAAGACACAGTGCAGAATGAAGTAATCTGTACTAGTACCTTTCCATAACTTATGGCCAAATTTTCTCACTTATAGCATCAATTCTTAATTACCAGTTCCATGAACAGTATTTCAATTTCACTATTGTTCATGAAAAATAATATGCAATATAACTCTCCAACAACGTACAAATACTTGGTTTTCTTATTTGCACCTGTTGGTGCTCCCCACTCTACCACAGTCAAGTGAAAATATGGATATTTGAATGGAAACTAAATTTGCTGAGGTCAAACTTACATTCAACTGTTATTCTGCATGTACACTTCTGTTCACAGGGGTCATACTTTGGCTCAAAACACAGTTACTGTTTGACTCAAGGTTACACCACAAACTGACTAAAATTCCTTAATTTATGAAATTTATATTAACAGTGTTTTGGAAGATAGCAGTGGAGTATACAGACACATCCACCTGCAGGCATCTCACTCTTTCTGATGCACTCGGTCTCCAAATTGTGAATTTTCCAAGCCTATTTATTCACAGTTCAGTTGCATATTTGCTCAGTGTTAGTCCCACTTTACATATGCCATGATGGTATGTAGATAATCTCCTTTACACACAGCTTTCTGTCTCTAGTTTTAGTATAGCAACTTTATGAGTATCTACAGCCATACTACTTTTTCTAGATATTGAGAATATTGAGGCGGAGATGGGAACAATGAAACACAGTTGTCAGTCATATACTGAATGAAGCCTCAGAAATGCACTTCAGGTTGTTCAGTGCAAGATATCTGGATGGAAGAGCACAGCCACTGCACAGACTAGCCGATGGGGCTGCTCACTTGGAGGCAAGCCTGCTCTAACACTTCAGGGTGTATGTTCCTCCCTCTTCTGAGAAATTCCCAAGGAAGACAGCATCTCTTCATTTGCGGGAACATACTGATATTAGGACACAGATATTACTACTACTGCAGAACAGTCTTAGTCATATTTACTATGATTAAACATCATGAATGAGTTCTGAACATCTCAAATTTCTTTTTTTTTTTAGGAATATTTGTTTGAGCCAGTAAAAGCAGATTTGTATAACCTACAGAAGAAATCAAAATAATACTTGAAACTCACTGAAAACAACAGCAACTCTGCTGTGGACTTTACTGGGTTCCAGTGCGGATGCTTCAGTTGTTATTAATGCAGGAACTGATATCATAAGACTCTCCCATTCATTTCCCTCGTATTCCCTTCTGCCATTTCCTTTCCTTTTCTCTTACAGTTCTTGTTGTTTGTCTCCTATAAACGCAGAGTTCCAAACTGAGACTCCAGTAAGATGCATTTTTGCCACTGCTAACCAACCCGTAAGAAGGATTTTTCAATATCATAAAAACTCAAAATAGCAATAAAAATCTCCCAGTTGGTTCAAGTGCTCTGTTCAAGCGTTCAGTTCTTTGAAGACTATGGAAACACCTGCATATACTTTGGATGCTCAGCTTAGAAAAGCAGTCTCAGTGGAGAAGATGTTTCCTTCAAAAGGGGTTTCTAGTGTTAGATGAAGTAAATATTTCTGGATCTTGAAACCTGACTGTTTTGTGGAACACAGACAGGAGTGGGACATGCAGGATTTGTCCTATATAAATGAAAAAAGGTAACATTTTTTCTGCCTAAAATCACACTGGTGCCAGTTTTCACAGGACTTACCTGTCCTTGTGGTTAATGTTTCTGTATCTGGAAAGCTGAAGGAGTTTCAGGACAGGACTCAGGCAGCCTTATGTTTAGAACTATCACCCAAAAAGAGAAGGAAATGAGAACAGCAAAAAACACGAACGACTTCTCCTAATTTAAATGAGCAAGCAGCTGAAGTGGCAATACTGAATATCTATGGAGCTGGAAGAGAAATCCTTTCCTCACTCAAGCTTTTATGAATAGCACTCAGATCACCCCTTTTCCAAGAGGCTGTTACTGCCGTTTTGTTTCCTCTTTACAGTAAATGCTGAATTCCTAACTGAAATATTCTGTGTTAATTGTGCAATGCCATACTGTCTCGGTGTCTGATCTGTAGCACAGCACAGCAGTTCTAACTACTAATAGCTAAATACAGAGTAATACAGAAGTAGGAATCTTCCACAGCTGTGCATTGTAGCAGAGGTACCAGGTAACGCTGATGCACAAAGCTAGCAGGAGGGTCTTGCACTCCTCTTCCTACCCACCTGCACAGCGGTATCCCTAACAGAAAGTGACCAAAAAGTGGTTCGGCTCATAAGAGGAATTTGACATCCAAGGGAGAAAAGAAGTGAAATGTAAACAAAGCATACATATAAAACTAGTGTAAATGCAAGAAATTCATAAGCTCAGGCTCTGTCCTGGATACACTAGCCACGGGATATTAATATGTGCGTTCCCTTGAGCTGGTGAGGTACCTCTTGGGAAATGTGACCTGAGTGCCGATGCTCCCTCTTTGTCTCTAAGGTTTTGGAAAGTAAGAAGTCTGATCCTGTACCTCAGTCTCCTCACTGATTGAACTATTGCTGTGCCTCATATAAGTCACATCATCATGGAGCATGAAGAAAGACACAGCCTAGCTGGGACTGAGTGATCCTATTGAAAGGGATGAAGTAAAATTTCTAAATAATGCAGAGTAACAGATTGACCGTGAGGCAAACCCTACAAATGTTTTAACTGGAAGTTCTAGCAGGTGTTTATATAACAATTGATTTGGATAACTGAATTTTCAAGATTAAATCTAACAGCAGTATTTAGAACTTCCTGAGAAAGAAAAACTTCAAATTTTGATACACTTCTGCAAATTTAACAGTTAATGGATTAACTTCCTTTCTATCACATTGAAAAAAAAAGACTTTCCACTTTCTAAACTTTTTAGCACCACTCTCCAAGATCACTGAAACCTCCACTGGTAAAACTAAAAAGACTTGTATCAGCTATTTCATTCTGATTGTAATTTCCCTCCACACAATTCTACCTTACAGTATGCATAAACTATTACAGAGCAGTGAGGCTCTCTAGTGCAGTATACCAGACAAAGAACTGATGGCTAATTCAATTGTTCTACCACATAAAGGTTTTCAGTAATTTACCCACCAAAATTAGGAAGCATGTTTAATTACATTGTTGTACAGCTGCTGCAAGTACATTTTATCCATCAGGGATGAATCCATATGCACAGTGACTGCCTACTAAAGTTAAATACTGTAAAGAAGAAAATAATTTATAGCAGAAAGTTCTTGACTTTTCATTTTCTCTTTTAAATAGACCGCTGTAGAAGAAAACAAAACCCATGCTATGAAAATGGAATGATTCATATCTCAACACAATTCGGTTTACCCTGGCCTGAATATTGAAGCTGTGGAGAGCACACCACATCTAAGATTAGTAGGTCCAAAGAAGATGGGAGAGAGTTAATTTATTAGATCGCTCCTCTTTCCTTTAATACCTGTTTTGGTAGGAAGCATCATTTATGGTTTCTTTCAGATCAGGGCTTTTTGCCCTTAAGTCTTCACTACTGATGAAAATCTAAGGGCCAACACCATATTCATTTAATATACTATAGAGTAACTGATGCCTGAAAGATTGAAGTAGAAGTAAAACAAAGAAAAAGAAAACCTCACTACTAAAAAAGGATATTATTAATTTCTTTGTCATTTTTTTGGCAGCTGATGTGCTTATGTTTTGTAAATCATTACATCTGAAATAGCTGAAGCTATAAAACTAATGTAGCAGGTCAGGGAAAACAACCAAAACAGGGTCAGACAATCTGAACCTGTGTCACCAGTTTAGGCAGTCTTGTGTCACTTCACTTACTCTTCGGTTTGGTGTGCTATTTCATCAGTACACTGCTAATAAAATATAACATCATCCTCTACATGCTTTCAGAGACTTTTGGCTGAAGAAATGTAAGAACTGGAAGTTTTGTGAATAGGAGGAGTAAGGTATTGTCTTGAAGTAAGTATTTTTAGGATGACTTTGTAGGAAGAAGACATAATAGAGTCACTACTCAGGTCACAGGGAACAGTAAGGGTAGCTATGGAAAACAAACTAGTAATGGAAAGAAAGGAGAAAAAGCACAAGCAGTAGATAGTTTAGACGTGTGAGGCAAGATCCTTTATTTGAAAATGTGGCAAAGGGCTTGAACTTGCTGCAGCATGAGATATGAAGGCAAAGAAAACAATTACATAGGATAAAGCGTAGGAGAAGAAGGCGTTTCATGTGTTCAAATTTTAGCTAAAAAGGAAGAAGGGACACAATATCCACAAGGATATAAATAGAGAGAAGGAAAGGATGAATTTTTAGGATCAAATGGAAAGAGGGCTTACTGAGTGATTAGCTGCATAAAAGAAAAGAAAGAGAGAAGTCAAGAAAGACGCCGAGTAGATTAGCCAGAGAGGAAAACGCAGAAGCACATGCATAAAAAATGCTAGTCATTGCTATATTCCTACTCTACGCCTTTTGTCACCTTTCATACACGAAATCAGAACTGCAGTTGTGTTACTTACAAACTCAGCAAAAACGCTACCTTTGATTTCTTGCATTTGCACCAACATGTATTGAAAAAAGTACTCCTCACAGTGCCGCTAAAGCAGTTTAGAAAACAAACGTAACATTTTCAATAATAGCAACGAAGGACTGATGTCTGCAATGGAATGATCTCCATTTCACTAGCACAAAAAAGTTACTAAATAGAGATATATTTATTTCTCCAGACTTATGGAATATGTATCTACAAACCTCAGAGCCATACATAAATATTTCTTCAGCAGTCTTGTCTCATATCTCTCCCTGTGATGCACTGATTTTGCTTGGTAACTGTTACCCCATCTTAAACCTAATACAGAATGGCAGGAAAATGCCATCCCTTCCTCAAGGTCAAATATCTAAACTCAAAGGGAGATTGTTCGAGATAGTGATTAAAACAAACAGACAATAAAATCTTATTTGTTTATAGCTGGCTGCTACACACTGTAATGAAAATTCAGTCAAATGTAGAAGTAGCTTTAGTAGATATCAAAAAAAGGAGAAATGATTTCATTAAAATAATTACCAAATTTCTTTTGTATTATAACTATTAGCCCATTTACTTGGTAAAATCATTGACACATTTTGGAGATTTAGGAGTGTTTCTGACTAAAAGCCTGCTTTTTTCCCCGAGTAGTTTTCACTGTATACTTTTCCATTTTTTTGTTGTTAAATTATGAAATTCATGTACTTCCTTTAGTAACTAATCATTAAGAAAGACATAAAAGTAGAGAGAATTCCTAACATCCAATTAGTGGAATTTGGCTGGATTAATTTGTCACTAAATTGTGCTTTTCCTTCAAGTAAGATAAATATATTAACACTGCATTTTCCAAACAGCTTTCATTTCCATTTCCATTGAAGCATCCCAGTTCTCTGAAGAGATGCATGACTACTCATGACATTAAGTTCTGTACAAGATTCAGCAGAAAACAAATACAATTAACTTTGAACACTGAGACAAGATTGAAGCGACAGATATACTCCTACAGTGTACTGCATACGGTAATCAATTTCAGCCCAAGTTTCCCCTTCTGAACTAATATGTTAAGATCACTTCTTTATAAGGTGTCTGAAATGGGATTCTCTCATTCGCACGTGTGGAAACTGACCGTGAACCCATGCAAAATACAGTGTATACACACCACCGAGTAGAGAACGACCAAAACCCGGCTAGCCTGTTTTACCTTCTTTACTATTTACTCACATTCTGTCACATCTTCAAGCATGCAAACAAAAAAGAGAATGAACATGCTTTCTTGAGAGACCACAGTTTCCATCAGTATATCACGCAGCATTTGTGATTTCACCAGTTTTAAAAAATGAGGAGATAATTCTCATTCTAAATGAACATGAAGAGGTAGAAGTGAAGTGCTATAAGTATTCTCTTTGCTTCTGTATTCATGTTTCAGTTCTTCACTGTTTAATATCATTTCACATTTTCTAGTTTTTGGTTGTCCAAGGAAAGTCCTGAGGACTCCTATAGCACTTTAGAGCACTGCTTTAAATAAGCATAGCAGGATCTTTCTCAAAAGATCTAAGTTTCCCAGTTTTCCAAAACAGTCTGTTCTCATATGCAGATGATAGGATATCAGGTAAATTTCTATCATTTAGCTTTAAGCAAGTAAGAAAGGAAGCCGGTGAGTTTGCTTGGCATTTTCCTACAAACAGCAAAGGAAGACAGTATTATGAGCAATGCCAGACTCCAAACTACAGGAGCCTGACTAGTCTCCATGGCTATTTACTGTGCAAAAGAAAATATGTGTTAAATAGATAATGATACATTATTAAGTACAGTATTAAGTACAACTTAATAATGAATAATAAACTCTCCTTGGACTATTCTGAACATTTTATAAAAGAATTTAAATACTTATTAAATTTCGGAGACTAAATAAAAAGGAAAATCTACCCTTCTTAATTATTAAGTGCTAAGAGATTTATCTATCAGGATATGAAAAAATAGCATCAGATTATGAAAGAGTCTTCCAAAAGCAGGTTTTAAACCTTCAAAATACCAATTCTTAAAGACTGCCTTAAAATTGTCATCAAAGTTTTATGTATATTCCTAGCTGCATCTTCTTCCTGGAAGCTAAACTTATAAGCATACCTGATCATTTACTAGGTATTTCCGTAACAGTGTGGCCTATCAGTCTGTAATATACCTCTTTAGCTTTAAATTAAAACAGCTGTATTTGGTGCTATGAAAGCCTCTAACTTTTTTCACCATGTCTTTGCATGCAAGAATAAT